TTCCGCGCGTTACGCCAAGACGCAAGACGCAGTGAAGATTGGGGTAGGAACCACACGGCTTCCTGTCCCAGCATCCTGGTGTAGTTTGTGCCTCATCACCGGGGTAAATTATGTGTACAGGAGGCGGCAGTTGTCAACACAACTGGAGCAACTCCATTAATTTACTGTGTTAGTAATTCTTTCTCTACCTGCCTTTGACTTCTCTTTGTATATAGAAAACTTTGTAAACAACTTATAAAACATTGAAAATAAACCAAAACATATGTAATTGTGCATGAAATCATCGAGTTTGCCATAGAAACTGGGAAGTTTTGCGTGCATGGCCGCAAGCCTAGCACGGCTCCCAGCGCCCGACACGGCATAGTGATTTAATAATAATAATAATAATAATAATAATATTGTGAGCGTTGGAGTTACTGAACTATTTGTTATTATAGTAAACATTAAACCTACAGAACCCAAAACTGCGCCTTTCATCATTGAGAGATTAGAGAGCTGTGTTATCATTTGCTAGATGGCGTATTTATCAGTTTACATTTCCAGTAATTAGTGGCGTTTTAAAACATACAAATACTGTACTTGAGAAGTAACCGCTAATCTGGGGACAGATTCACGAATCAGTTACTCACGTACTTACGAACGTGTACATCTTTCCTCAATCTTTGACGGCTTTGTTTACATTTATCAAACAGTTTACAAGCATGAAAGCTTCCCAGTCAACTGTTGTTATTGTTATAAACAGCCTCCTGGTGCTTCGGAGCTCCTTAACTGTTTAATATTTGTAAACAAAGCCGCCAAATATTGAGAAAAGATGTACACGTTAGTAAGTGCTTGAGTAACTGCTTCGTGAATCTGACCCCTGGTCCCCCTGTATTATTTAGAAATAAAATATTATTATTATTATTGTTGTTAAGACACTACAACCCACATTTCTGAAAATAAAGGAAGTGGCTACGTTTCGGGCCATCATGGGGACTATTATCAAAGTAGACCGAAACGTCGTCATTCCCTTTGCCTTCAGAAGTGTGGGTTGCGAGTCCTTACATTTTCAGCCACGTTACTGTGACCTACTGACTCCATATTATCATAGTTAGTCACAGGGAAAACTCGTGCACCGTGTTGGCCTCGTGCACCGTGTTGGCCTCGTGCACCGTGTTAGCCTCGTGCTACGTGTTAGCCTCGTGCACCGTGTTAGCCTCGTGCACCGTGTTAGCCTCGTGCACCGTGTTAGCCTCGTGCACCGTGTTAGCCTCGTGCTACGTGTTAGCCTCGTGCTACGTGTTAGCCTCGTGCTACGTGTTAGCCTCGTGCACCGTGTTAGCCTCGTGCTACGTGTTAGCCTCGTGCACCGTGTTAGCCTCGTGCACCGTGTTAGCCTCGTGCTACGTGTTAGCCTCGTGCACCGTGTTAGCCTCGTGCACCGTGTTAGCCTCGTGCTACGTGTTAGCCTCGTGCACCGTGTTAGCCTCGTGCCACGTGTTAGCCTCGTGCACCGTGTTAGCCTCGTACACCGTGTTAGCCTCGTGCCTCGTGCCTAGATACTGGCGTTATTCCTGATATACTAAAAACAGCAGAGATAGCACCACTTCATAAAGGAGGAAATAAGGCAGAGGCAAAAAATTACAGACCGATAGCGCTAACATCGCACATCATAAACATTTTTGAGAGAGTGCTAAGAAGTAAAATCACAAAATACATGGAATCACAGCAACTCCATAACCCCAGACAACATGGTTTCAGAACAGGGCGCTCTTGCCTGTCGCAGTTGCTGGACCACTATGATATGGCATTAGATGCTATGGAAGACAAACATAACGCGGATGTAATTTACATCTCAAGATACACAGATTTCGCAAAAGCTTTTGATAAATGATAAATGACCATGGTGTTATTGCACATAAAATGCGTTCAAAAGGAATTACCGGAAAAATAGGCAGATGGATCTACAATTTCCTGACCAACAGAACCCAATGTGTAATAGTCAACAAAATAAAATCCAGCCCATCAACCGTGAAGAGCTCAGTCCCCCAGGGTACTGTGCTTGCTCCAGTACTTTTTCTCATCCTCATTTCGGACATAGACAAGAACACAACCTATAGCACTGTATCATCCTTTGCAAATGACACTAGGATCTTCATGAGAGTAGGCAACATAGAGGACACGGCGAACCTCCAGTCAGATGTAGATCAGGTCTTTCTATGGGCTACAGAAAATAATATGGTGTTTAACGAAGATAAGTTCCAGCTCATGCGCTATGGAAAAAATGAAAATATAAAAACGGAAACCACGTACAAAACTCAGGCAAATCATAACATAGAACGAAAAGGCAATGTAAAGGATCTGGGTGTACTCATGTCGGAAGACCTTACCTTTAAAGAACACAATAAAGTAGCCGTCACAACTGCAAGAAAAATGACAGGTTGGATAACAAGAACTTTTCACACTAGAGATGCTATACCGATGATGATACTTTTCAAAACGCTTGTGCTCTCTAGAGTAGAGTACTGCTGCACAATGACAGCACCTTTCAAAGCTGGAGAAATTGCTGACCTGGAGAGCGTGCAGAGATCCTTTACTGCTAGAATCCACTCAGTAAAACATCTAAACTATTGGGACCGAGTAAAGAGCCTAAAACTGTACTCCCTTGAGCGCAGGCGGGAGAGGTACATAATAATTTACACGTGGAAAATATTAGAGGGGCTGGTCCCAAACCTGCACACAGAAATAACATCACATGAGACCAGAAGACATGGCAGGACGTGCAGAATACCCCCGTTGAAAAACAGAGGTGCAACAGGTACTCTGAGAGAGAACTCTATCAACATCAGAGGTCCGAGACTGTTCAACACGCTTCCACTACACATAAGGGACATAACTGGCCGACCCCTCACAGTGTTCAAGAGAGAACTGGATAAGCACCTCCAAAGGATACCTGATCAACCAGGCTGTGACTCATACGTCAGGCTGCGAGCAGCCGCGTCCAACAGCCTGGTTGATCAGTCCGGCAACCAGGAGGCCTGGTCGACGACCGGGCCGCGGGGACGCTAAGCCCCGGAAGCACCTCAAGGTAACCTCAAGGTAAGGTACGTGTTAACCTCGTGCACCGTGTTAGCCTCGTACACCGTGTTGGCCTCGTGCACCGTGTTAGCCTCGTGCACCGTGTTAGCCTCGTGCACCGTGTTAGCCTCGTGCTACGTGTTAGCCTCGTGCTACGTGTTAGCCTCGTGCACCGTGTTAGCCTCGTGCACCGTGTTAGCCTCGTGCACCGTGTTAGCCTCGTGCACCGTGTTAGCCTCGTGCACCGTGTTAGCCTCGTGCACCGTGTTAGCCTCGTGCTACGTGTTAGCCTCGTGCACCGTGTTAGCCTCGTGCACCGTGTTAGCCTCGTGCACCGTGTTAGCCTCGTGCACCGTGTTAGCCTCGTGCACCGTGTTAGCCTCGTGCACCGTGTTAGCCTCGTGCACCGTGGTAGCCTCGTGCTACGTGTTAGCCTCGTGCACCGTGTTAGCCTCGTGCTACGTGTTAGCCTCGTGCACCGTGTTAGCCTCGTGCTCCGTGGTAGCCTCGTGCTACGTGGTAGCCTCGTGCTCCGTGGTAGCCTCGTGCTACGTGTTAGCCTCGTGGTGTGTTGTGTTACAGGTGTGACGGTGTGTAACGTGTGTGTGTTGTGTTACAGGCGTGACGGTGACGGTGTGTAACGTGTGTGTGTTGTTACAGGCGTGACGGTGACGGTGTGTAACGTGTGTGTTGTGTTACAGGCGTGACGGTGTGTAACGTGTGTGTTGTGTTACAGGCGTGACGGTGACGGTGTGTAACGGTCTACCGCAGCTGACTGTGCCGCTGCCCTCCAGGAGAGATCTGTGCCGCTTCACGCTGCGGCCCGTCACCCACACTGTACAGGACCTCCTCCACCAGCTCTCTCACGAGGACCACGGCATAGACCGTATTGTGCTCAGGACCACAGGTGAGTCTTCCTGTCCCTCTCGCCTGCTGCCCCGTCCCTCTGGCCTGCTGCCCCGTCCCTCTCACCTGCTGCCCCGTCCCTCTCACTTGCTGCCCCGTCCCTCTCACCTGCTGCCCCGTCCCTCTCACTTGCTGCCCCGTCCCTCTCACCTGCTGCCCCGTCCCTCTCACCTGCTGCCCCGTCCCTCTCACCTGCTGCCCCGTCCCTCTCACTTGCTGCCCCGTCCCTCTCACCTGCTGCCCCGTCCCTCTCACCTGCTGCCCCGTCCCTCTCGCCTGCTGCCTGTCCCTCTCGCCTGCTGCCTGTCCCTCTCGCCTGCTGCCCCGTTCCTCTCACCTGCTGCCTCGTCCCTCTCACCTGCTGCCCCGTCCCTCTCGCCTGCTGCCTGTCCCTCTCACCTGCTGTCCCGTCCCTCTCACCTGCTGTCCCGTCCCTCTCACCTGCTGTCCCGTCCCTCTCACCTGCTGTCCCGTCCCTCTCACCTGCTGCCCCGTCCCTCTCACCTACTGCCCCGTCCCTCTCACCTGCTGTCCCGTCCCTCTCACCTGCTGCCCCGTCCCTCTCGCCTGCTGCCTGTCCCTCTCGCCTGCTGCCTGTCCCTCTCGCCTGCTGCCCCGTTCCTCTCACCTGCTGCCTCGTCCCTCTCACCTGCTGCCCCGTCCCTCTCGCCTGCTGCCTGTCCCTCTCACCTGCTGTCCCGTCCCTCTCACCTGCTGTCCCGTCCCTCTCACCTGCTGTCCCGTCCCTCTCACCTGCTGTCCCGTCCCTCTCACCTGCTGCCCCGTCCCTCTCACCTACTGCCCCGTCCCTCTCACCTGCTGTCCCGTCCCTCTCACCTGCTGTCCCGTCCCTCTCACCTGCTGTCCCGTCCCCCTCACCTGCTGTCCCGTCCCTCTCACCTGCTGTCCCGTCCCTCTCACCTGCTGTCCCGTCCCTCTCACCTGCTGCCCCGTCCCTCTCACCTGCTGCCCCGTCCCTCTCACCTGCTGCCCCGTCCCCTCTCACCTGCTGTCCCGTCCCTCTCACCTGCTGTCCCGTCCCTCTCACCTGCTGCCCCGTCCCTCTCACCTACTGCCCCGTCCCTCTCACCTACTGCCCCTTCCCTCTCACCTACTGCCCCGTCCCCTCTCACCTGCTGTCCCGTCCCTCTCACCTGCGGCAACTTTTTCTCTCCATAGATTACGTTATCAACACTCTAATGCATTATTTTGCGTGCATGAATAATATTGAAATTATATAATAAACGAAGTGAATAAAGATGGTTTAAATACATGACTACACATGACTACAATGAATTGTAGTCATGTGATCTACAATGTATTACAGTCATGTAGTCAACAATGTATTGTAGTCATGTGATCTATAATGTATTGTAGTGATGTGATCCACACTGTATTGTATATTGAGCCCAGATGATGTAGAAGCATAATAATGAATAACTAAGTGTGTGACGGTCTTGCCTCTCCCCTGCTCGGTGTGCTGCAGATGGAGTGCGGATCTCATCCTCCGACAGCATCGAGTCTCTTCTGATGAGCGACTTCGACCTCGTGATTAACGACGTCTCGTACCGGGTGGTGGTGCCCCCGGAGCACAAGCTCACCCTGGTAGGTCTCTTGGGGCGCCCCTGTTACAAGCTCACTCTGGTAGGTCTCCTAGGGCGTCCCCTGTTACAAGCTCACTCTGGTAGGTCTCCTAGGGCGTTCCCTGTTACAAGCTCACCCTGGTAGGTCTCCTAGGGCGTTCCCTGTTACAAGCTCACCCTGGTAGGTCTCCTAGGGCGTTCCCTGTTACAAGCTCACTCTGGTAGGTCTCCTAGGGCGTTCCCTGTTACAAGCTCACTCTGGTAGGTCTCCTAGGGCGTTCCCTGTTACAAGCTCACTCTGGTAGGTCTCCTAGGGCGTTCCCTGTTACAAGCTCACCCTGGTAGGTCTCCTAGGGCGTTCCCTGTTACAAGCTCACCCTGGTAGGTCTCCTAGGGCGTTCCCTGTTACAAGCTCACCCTGGTAGGTCTCCTAGGGCGTTCCCTGTTACAAGCTCACTCTGGTAGGTCTCCTAGGGCGTTCCCTGTTACAAGCTCACTCTGGTAGGTCTCCTAGGGCGTTCCCTGTTACAAGCTCACCCTGGTAGGTCTCCTAGGGCGTTCCCTGTTACAAGCTCACCCTGGTAGGTCTCCTGACGCGCCCCCTGTTACAAGCTCACCCTGATAGGTCTCCTAGGGCGTTCCCTGTTACAAGCTCACACTGTTAGGTCTCCTGACGCGCCCCCTGTTACAAGCTTACAAGTTACAAGTGACTTGAGGAAAGTCTTCACATGTACGCTTCTCTGTTATCACCTCAGCAAGGGATGGAATAAATAACTACTGCAATGGTTTATTTTATAACTGGCCATAGCATCGGTTTCTAGTGGTCATTGAGCCTTTCATAATTATTGGGGAAAAGGGCAAAAATTATCTTGTTTAGCGAGATAAATTTAACGAGTGTGATGTGTCTCCGTCAGGGGCTGAAGTTTTCGCAGAATGTGTCCTCTTAGTATACTTGTGTATGTTACATAGTATACTTGAGTGTGTTACTTAGTATACTTGTGTGTGTTACAGAGGTTGGCTTGAGACACCACAATTCAGAGTCCGTATATTGTGATTCCGTATATATATCCGTATATATTGAGAAACTATTCAGATTCAGTATATATCAGAATCCAGACTTCAGAATCCGTATATAGTGTCATGAAACTGCATGACAAACACAAGAGTGTGTTCGTCATGCAGTCTTCCAAGGTGACAGTTGCCAGAGACACATGACGACATCAATCATGTGGGCACTTATGTTGTCAATAATAAGTCGTCAGGCCTCAGGATGACTGACAACACCCCCCCCCCCCACCCAGAACCCTTGGTCTGGACAACTATTATGTAGACAGGTGTGACAGTTGTGAGTCAGGTGTGACAGTTGTGAGTCAGGTGTGACAGTTGTGAGTCAGGTGTGCCAGTTGTGAGTCAAGTGTGCCACTTGTGAGTCAAGTGTGACAGTTGTGAGCCAAGTGTGACAGTTGTGAGTCAGGTGTGACAGTTGTGAGTCAGGTGTGACAGTTGTGAGTCAGGTGTGACAGTTGTGAGTCAGGTGTGACAGTTGTGAGTCAAGTGTGCCAGTTGTGAGTCAAGTGTGACGCTTGTGAGTCAAGTGTGACAGTTGTAAGCCAAGTGTGCCAGTTGTGAGTCAAGTGTGCCAGTTGTGAGTCAAGTGTGACAGTTGTGAGTCAAGTGTGACAGTTGTGAGTCAAGTGTGCCAGTTGTGAGTCAAGTGTGACAGTTGTGAGTCAAGTGTGACAGTTGTGAGTCAAGTGTGCCAGTTGTGAGTCAAGTGTGACAGTTGTGAGTCAAGTGTGCCAGTTGTGAGTCAGGTGTGCCAGTTGTGAGTCAGGTGTGCCAGTTGTGAGTCAGGTGTGACAGTTGTGAGTCAAGTGTGACAGTTGTGAGTCAGGTGTGACAGTTGTGAGTCAGGTGTGACAGTTGTGAGTCAGGTGTGACAGTTGTGAGTTAAGTGTGACAGTTGTGAGTCAAGTGTGACAGTTGTGAGTCAAGTGTGCCAGTTGTGAGTCAGGTGTGCCAGTTGTGAGTCAGGTGTGCCAGTTGTGAGTCAGGTGTGCCAGTTGTGAGTCAGGTGTGACAGTTGTGAGTCAGGTGTGACAGTTGTGAGTCAGGTGTGACAGTTGTGAGTCAGGTGTGACAGTTGTACGCATACACTATACGAGTCGTCACTGGTATAGTGTCTTCACTCGTAGTGTCGTCACTGGTATAGTATCGTCACTGGTATAGTGTCGTCACTGGTATAGTGTCGTCACTCGTAGTGTCGTCACTGGTATAGTGTCGTCACTCGTAGTGTCGTCACTCGTAGTGTCGTTACTGGTATAGTGTCGTCACTGGTATAGTGTCGTCACTCGTAGTGTCGTCACTGGTATAGTGTCGTCACTCGTAGTGTCGTCACTGGTATAGTGTCGTCACTCGTAGTGTCGTCACTGGTATAGTGTCGTCACTGGTATAGTGTCGTCACTGGTATAGTGTCGTCACTCGTAGTGTCGTCACTGGTATAGTGTCGTCACTCGTATTGTCGTCACTGGTATAGTGTCGTCACTCGTAGTGTCGTCACTGGTATAGTGTCGTCACTCGTAGTGTCGTCACTGGTATAGTGTCGTCACTGGTATAGTGTCGTCACTGGTATAGTGTCGTCACTGGTATAGTGTCGTCACTGGTATAGTGTCGTCACTGGTATAGTGTCGTCACTGGTATAGTGTCGTCACTGGTATAGTGTCGTCACTCGTAGTGTCGTCACTGGTATAGTGTCGTCACTCGTATTGTCGTCACTGGTATAGTGTCGTCACTGGTATAGTGTCGTCACTGGTATAGTGTCGTCACTGGTATAGTGTCGTCACTCGTAGTGTCGTCACTGGTATAGTGTCGTCACTCGTAGTGTCGTCACTCGTAGTGTCGTCACTGGTATAGTGTCGTCACTGGTATAGTGTCGTCACTGGTATAGTGTCGTCACTGGTGTAGTGTCGTCACTGGTATAGTGTCGTCACTGGTGTAGAGTCGTCACTGGTATAGTGTCGTCACTCGTAGTGTCGTCACTGGTATAGTGTCGTCACTGGTGTAGTGTCGTCACTGGTATAGTGTCGTCATAGTGTCGTCACTGGTATAGTGTCGTCACTGGTATAGTGTCGTCACTCGTAGTGTCGTCACTGGTATAGTGTCGTCACTGGTATAGTGTCGTCACTCGTAGTGTCGTCAATGGTATAGTGTCGTCACTGGTGTAGTGTCGTCACTGGTATAGTGTCGTCACTCGTAGTGTCGTCACTGGTATAGTGTCGTCACTGGTATAGTGTCGTCACTGGTGTAGTGTCGTCACTGGTATAGTGTCGTCACTGGTGTAGTGTCGTCACTGGTATAGTGTCGTCACTGGTGTAGTGTCGTCACTGGTATAGTGTCGTCACTGGTATAGTGTCGTCACTGGTATAGTGTCGTCACTCGTAGTGTCGTCACTGGTATAGTGTCGTCACTGGTATAGTGTCGTCACTGGTGTAGTGTTGTCACTGGTATAGTGTCGTCACTGGTGTAGTGTCGTCACTGGTATAGTGTCGTCACTGGTATAGTGTCGTCACTGGTATAGTGTCGTCACTTGTAGTGTCGTCACTGGTATAGTGTCGTCACTGGTGTAGTGTCGTCACTGGTGTAGTGTCGTCACTGGTATAGTATCGTCACTGGTATAGTGTCGTCACTGGTATAGTGTCGTCACTGGTGTAGTGTCGTCACTGGTATAGTGTCGTCACTGGTGTAGTGTCGTCACTGGTATAGTATCGTCACTGGTGTAGTGTCGTCACTGGTATAGTGTCGTCACTGGTATAGTGTCGTCACTCGTAGTGTCGTCACTGGTATAGTGTCGTCACTGGTGTAGTGTCGTCACTGGTATAGTGTCGTCACTGGTGTAGTGTCGTCACTGGTGTAGTGTCGTCACTGGTGTAGTGTCGTCACTGGTGTAGTATCGTCACTGGTATAGTGTCGTCACTGGTATAGTGTCGTCACTGGTGTAGTGTCGTCACTGGTATAGTATCGTCACTGGTGTAGTGTCGTCACTGGTGTAGTGTCGTCACTGGTATAGTGTCGTCACTAGTATAGTGTCGTCACTGGTATAGTGTCGTCACTGGTATAGTGTCGTCACTGGTGTAGTGTCGTCACTGGTGTAGTGTCGTCACTGGTGTAGTGTCGTCACTGGTATAGTGTCGTCACTGGTGTAGTGTCGTCACTGGTGTAGTGTCGTCACTGGTAGGTGTGATAGTTGTGAGTCAAGTGTGACAGTTGTGAGCCAAGTGTGACAGTTGTGAGTCAGGTGTGACAGTTGTGAGTCAGGTGTGACAGTTGTGAGTCAGGTGTGCCAGTTGTGAGTCAAGTGTGCCACTTGTGAGTCAAGTGTGACAGTTGTGAGCCAAGTGTGACAGTTGTGAGTCAGGTGTGACAGTTGTGAGTCAGGTGTGACAGTTGTGAGTCAGGTGTGACAGTTGTGAGTCAGGTGTGACAGTTGTGACAGTTGTGAGTCAAGTGTGCCAGTTGTGAGTCAAGTGTGACACTTGTGAGTCAAGTGTGACAGTTGTAAGCCAAGTGTGCCAGTTGTGAGCCAAGTGTGACAGTTGTGAGTCAGGTGTGACAGTTGTGAGTCAGGTGTGACAGTTGTGAGTCAGGTGTGCCAGTTGTGAGTCAAGTGTGCCACTTGTGAGTCAAGTGTGACAGTTGTGAGCCAAGTGTGACAGTTGTGAGTCAGGTGTGACAGTTGTGAGTCAGGTGTGACAGTTGTGAGTCAGGTGTGACAGTTGTGAGTCAAGTGTGCCAGTTGTGAGTCAAGTGTGACACTTGTGAGTCAAGTGTGACAGTTGTAAGCCAAGTGTGCCAGTTGTGAGTCAAGTGTGCCAGTTGTGAGTCAAGTGTGACAGTTGTGAGTCAAGTGTGACAGTTGTGAGTCAAGTGTGCCAGTTGTGAGTCAAGTGTGACAGTTGTGAGTCAAGTGTGACAGTTGTGAGTCAAGTGTGCCAGTTGTGAGTCAAGTGTGACAGTTGTGAGTCAAGTGTGCCAGTTGTGAGTCAGGTGTGCCAGTTGTGAGTCAGGTGTGCCAGTTGAGAGTCAGGTGTGACAGTTGTGAGTCAAGTGTGACAGTTGTGAGTCAGGTGTGACAGTTGTGAGTCAGGTGTGACAGTTGTGAGTCAGGTGTGACAGTTGTGAGTCAGGTGTGACAGTTGTGAGTCAAGTGTGACAGTTGTGAGTCAAGTGTGCCAGTTGTGAGTCAGGTGTGCCAGTTGTGAGTCAGGTGTGCCAGTTGTGAGTCAAGTGTGACAGTTGTGAGTCAGGTGTGACAGTTGTGAGTCAGGTGTGACAGTTGTGAGTCAGGTGTGACAGTTGTGAGTCAGGTGTGACAGTTGTACACATACACTATACGAGTCGTCACTGGTATAGTGTCTTCACTCGTAGTGTCGTCACTGGTGTAGTGTCGTCACTGGTGTAGTGTCGTCACTGGTGTAGTGTCGTCACTGGTATAGTGTCGTCACTGGTGTAGTGTCGTCACTGGTGTAGTGTCGTCACTGGTAGGTGTGATAGTTGTGAGTCAAGTGTGACAGTTGTGAGCCAAGTGTGACAGTTGTGAGTCAGGTGTGACAGTTGTGAGTCAGGTGTGACAGTTGTGAGTCAGGTGTGCCAGTTGTGAGTCAAGTGTGCCACTTGTGAGTCAAGTGTGACAGTTGTGAGCCAAGTGTGACAGTTGTGAGTCAGGTGTGACAGTTGTGAGTCAGGTGTGACAGTTGTGAGTCAGGTGTGACAGTTGTGACAGTTGTGAGTCAAGTGTGCCAGTTGTGAGTCAAGTGTGACACTTGTGAGTCAAGTGTGACAGTTGTAAGCCAAGTGTGCCAGTTGTGAGCCAAGTGTGACAGTTGTGAGTCAGGTGTGACAGTTGTGACTCAGGTGTGACAGTTGTGAGTCAGGTGTGCCAGTTGTGAGTCAAGTGTGCCACTTGTGAGTCAAGTGTGACAGTTGTGAGCCAAGTGTGACAGTTGTGAGTCAGGTGTGACAGTTGTGAGTCAGGTGTGACAGTTGTGAGTCAGGTGTGACAGTTGTGAGTCAAGTGTGCCAGTTGTGAGTCAAGTGTGACACTTGTGAGTCAAGTGTGACAGTTGTAAGCCAAGTGTGCCAGTTGTGAGTCAAGTGTGCCAGTTGTGAGTCAAGTGTGACAGTTGTGAGTCAAGTGTGACAGTTGTGAGTCAAGTGTGCCAGTTGTGAGTCAAGTGTGACAGTTGTGAGTCAAGTGTGACAGTTGTGAGTCAAGTGTGCCAGTTGTGAGTCAAGTGTGACAGTTGTGAGTCAAGTGTGCCAGTTGTGAGTCAGGTGTGCCAGTTGTGAGTCAGGTGTGCCAGTTGAGAGTCAGGTGTGACAGTTGTGAGTCAAGTGTGACAGTTGTGAGTCAGGTGTGACAGTTGTGAGTCAGGTGTGACAGTTGTGAGTCAGGTGTGACAGTTGTGAGTCAGGTGTGACAGTTGTGAGTCAAGTGTGACAGTTGTGAGTCAAGTGTGCCAGTTGTGAGTCAGGTGTGCCAGTTGTGAGTCAGGTGTGCCAGTTGTGAGTCAAGTGTGACAGTTGTGAGTCAGGTGTGACAGTTGTGAGTCAGGTGTGACAGTTGTGAGTCAGGTGTGACAGTTGTACACATACACTATACGAGTCGTCACTGGTATAGTGTCTTCACTCGTAGTGTCGTCACTGGTATAGTATCGTCACTGGTATAGTGTCGTCACTGGTATAGTGTCGTCACTCGTAGTGTCGTCACTGTTATAGTGTCGTCACTCGTAGTGTCGTCACTGGTATAGTGTCGTCACTCGTAGTGTCGTCACTGGTATAGTGTCGTCACTGGTATAGTGTCGTCACTCGTAGTGTCGTCACTGGTATAGTGTCGTCACTCGTAAAGTCGTCACTGGTGTAGTGTTGTCACTGGTATAGTGTCGTCACTCGTAGTGTCGTCACTGGTATAGTGTCGTCACTCGTAGTGTCGTCACTGGTATAGTGTCGTCACTCGTAGTGTCGTCACTGGTATAGTGTCGTCACTGGTATAGTGTCGTCACTCGTAGTGTCGTCACTGGTAGAGTGTTGTCACTCGTATTGTCGTCACTGGTATAGTGTCGTCACTGGTATAGTGTCGTCACTGGTATAGTGTCGTCACTGGTATAGTGTCGTCACTGGTATAGTGTCGTCACTGGTATAGTGTCGTCACTCGTAGTGTCGTCACTGGTATAGTGTCGTCACTCGTAGTGTCGTCACTCGTAGTGTCGTCACTGGTATAGTGTCGTCACTGGTATAGTGTCGTCACTGGTATAGTGTCGTCACTGGTGTAGTGTCGTCACTGGTGTAGTGTCGTCACTGGTATAGTGTCGTCACTCGTAGTGTCGTCACTGGTATAGTGTCGTCACTGGTGTAGTGTCGTCACTGGTATAGTGTCGTCACTCGTAGTGTCGTCACTGGTATAGTGTCGTCACTGGTATAGTGTCGTCACTCGTAGTGTCGTCACTGGTATAGTGTCGTCACTGGTATAGTGTCGTCACTGGTGTAGTGTCGTCACTGGTATAGTGTCGTCACTGGTGTAGTGTCGTCACTGGTATAGTGTCGTCACTGGTGTAGTGTCGTCACTGGTATAGTGTCGTCACTGGTATAGTGTCGTCACTGGTATAGTGTCGTCACTCGTAGTGTCGTCACTGGTATAGTGTCGTCACTGGTATAGTGTCGTCACTGGTGTAGTGTTGTCACTGGTATAGTGTCGTCACTGGTGTAGTGTCGTCACTGGTATAGTGTCGTCACTGGTATAGTGTCGTCACTGGTATAGTGTCGTCACTCGTAGTGTCGTCACTGGTATAGTGTCGTCACTGGTGTAGTGTCGTCACTGGTGTAGTGTCGTCACTGGTGTAGTGTCGTCACTGGTATAGTATCGTCACTGGTATAGTGTCGTCACTGGTATAGTGTCGTCACTGGTGTAGTGTCGTCACTGGTATAGTATCGTCACTGGTGTAGTGTCGTCACTGGTATAGTGTCGTCACTGGTATAGTGTCGTCACTCGTAGTGTCGTCACTGGTATAGTGTCGTCACTGGTGTAGTGTCGTCACTGGTGTAGTGTCGTCACTGGTGTAGTGTCGTCACTGGTATAGTATCGTCACTGGTATAGTGTCGTCACTGGTATAGTGTCGTCACTGGTGTAGTGTCGTCACTGGTATAGTATCGTCACTGGTGTAGTGTCGTCACTGGTATAGTGTCGTCACTAGTATAGTGTCGTCACTGGTATAGTGTCGTCACTGGTATAGTGTCGTCACTGGTGTAGTGTCGTCACTGGTGTAGTGTCGTCACTGGTGTAGTGTCGTCACTGGTGTAGTGTCGTCACTGGTGTAGTGTCGTCACTGGTATAGTGTCGTCACTGGTGTAGTGTCGTCACTGGTGTAGTGTCGTCACTGGTATAGTGTCGTCACTGGTATAGTGTCGTCACTGGTATAGTGTCGTCACTAGTATAGTGTCGTCACTGGTATAGTGTCGTCACTGGTATAGTGTCGTCACTGGTGTAGTGTCGTCACTGGTGTAGTGTCGTCACTGGTATAGTGTCGTCACTGGTGTAGTGTGGTCACTGGTATAGTGTCGTCACTGGTATAGTGTCGTCACTGGTGTAGTGTCGTCACTGGTATAGTGTCGTCACTGGTATAGTGTCGTCACTGGTGTAGTGTCGTCACTGGTCTAGTGTCGTCACTGGTATAGTGTCGTCACTGGTGTAGTGTCGTCACTGGTGTAGTGTTGTCACTGGTATAGTGTTGTCACTGGTATAGTGTCGTCCCTGGTATTGTGAACGTATCAGGAGACTGGTTCCTGGCCTTCTTGTACCTCGCCCTTTCTCTCTGAGTGCTCTGTTAGGCCCATCTACATTGTTTTGTTTCCTTACATCCCTAATTAAGCTCAAATTCCTTCGTTGCGTTAAAATATTCTCCTTTTGGACGTGGACAAACTTGTCCACAACTTCTTGACACCTCTGAGAGATGTAGCCCATCATGTCTTGAATGGTCTTTCCTGCGAGATGTTTCCCATGGTATTTCTATAAAAAAATCCTCATTTCCGTAGTTTTCCCTTCCTTAACTAGGTTCTGAACTAGGTCTCTCATATACCAGTTTAATCTTTAACCATTATTTCATAATTAGATATACATATTACACTAGATAATAATACATATTTTGTTCATATCAAGTCCTCATATTTTATCAAGTTTTCACAAATATTGTGGTTTACAAAATTCGTGTACAGGTACTTTTTCCTCTGAGACTGACAAACGTTTTTGTAAACACAGGAAGAGTTAAGTGACATGGGAGATGTGCGGCAGTTGGTGAACAAGCTGTACATGGCCCTCAACGTTGATCAGCACCAGGTCATGAAGGAGAGAGATATTCTCGCACAGATTGAAGATTTGAAGTCACAATTGGCGCCTCTAGAAAAGGTAAAATAAGCTTCAGTGTTTAATTTCTTCCCATCCATCCCATCCCAAATCCTTATCCTGACCCCTTCCAAGTGATATATAGTCATAATGGCTTGGCGCTTCCCCCCCCCCTGATCATTCCCTTCTCTTCATTGTTTCATCTATGAGTTAAGGCATTTTTTATACACTATAATAAACAGATAAATGTATAATTTGTTAACCATCGGGTCGGTGCAGTCTATTCAACGTAAATGTCCTGAATGGGTTCGATTCCTGTTCAGGGCGAGTTATAAATAAGGATGTGGGAGTTAGGCATCTGTTGTAATTTGCATCCTGGGAAAGATCAGACTTTCCCTATCCATTAGGCACTTATCAGGTGTCTACGGGGACTCCAGATAAGCTTTGTAAGCTTCCTGGTCCCCAACAATGGAAATCCATGTCGACATTCAGACAGACTGCCAATATAACTATTTTACCAATTTACCAATTATAAATTTACCAATTTATCTGCTTTATCTGTAGTAGCATTTTCTTTGCATTTATGAGCGTGTGGCAGTTGTTACTAACTGTGATTTCAGTTTATTGAGATCTATTAGTTAAATAGATATGTATATATATGTATCAATATTTTTTTAGTTCTATAGGCTCTTGATGAATGATGATGCTCATTTAGGATATATATTATAAAATATTGTGTTCATGTAGCCATGAATATGTTTCTAGATAGTTAGGTATTCCCAGAACACATGTTTTTGTCAATTAAAAAACGCCTTCACACATCGACAGAGGCGATTTTAAGGTTTATATATGGAAGTACAAGATCCCTGGTGTTCCTGAGCCATGCAGCCCCTTGTTGGCATATTGAAAAAAAAGATTTTCAAAACTGTCGAGGGCCGGGGGGGTGTAAGCCCAGTGATCTCCGCAGCAAACAAAACCCAGGGAACCTTTGTAATAGACGATGATATGGGGTTGTTTTTATCTATTGCATGATTGATACCTGCATGGTGGGGTTCTGGGAGTTTTTACTCCCCAAGCCCGGCCCGAGGCCAGGCTTGACTTGAGAGTTTCGTCCACTAGGCTGTTGCTTGGAGTGGCCCGCAGGCCCACATACCCATCACAGCCCGGTTGGTCCGGCACTCCTTCAAGAAAACAATCTAGTTTCCTCTTGAAGATGTCCACGGTTGTTCCGGCAATATTTCTTATGCTCGCTGGGAGGATGTTGAACAACCGCGGACCTCTGATGTTTATACAGTGTTCTTTGATTGTGCCCATGGCACCTCTGCTCTTCACTGGTTCTATTCTGTATTTTCTTCCATATCGTTCACTCCAGTATGTTGTTATTTTACTGTGTAGATTTGGTACCTGACCCTCCAGTATTTTCCACTTATATATTATTTGATATCTCTCTCGTTTCCTTTCTAGTAAGTACATTTGGAGAGCTTTGAGACGATCCCAATAATTTAGGTGCTGTATCGCGTCTATGCATGCAGTATATGTTCTCTGTATTCCCTCTATTTCAGCAATCTCTCCTGCTTTGAAGGGGAAAGTGAGTACTGAGCAGTACTCAAGACGGGACAACACAAGTGATTGAAGAGTACAACCATTGTGATGGGATCCCCGGAATTGAAAGTTCTCGTAATCCATCCTATTATTTGTTCTGGTTGAGGCAATATTTGCTTGGTTATAGATATTCTCCCCATCTGGATCCCCTTTTCCTAACCTGACATACAAAAGTGAAGACCAAAAAATATCATTGCCTTGAAGATAATCCTGGAAATGAGAAAACACGAACAAACTGAGGAAAGAAAAACCAAAATCAAAACCTTTTCCAAAGACCAAGATGGCTCAAGAGAAGCAAGAGTAGGCTGAAGGTGACAAAAAATACCCAAGACAGCTTGAAGTGTGGCCTGCGATACGTTAACACCGAACTCCAAGAGCAACAACAGCATTCAGCATGAGAAGCCTATACACAACAAAATAAGATAAAAGCGAGTGGACCACAAGTACAGAAACCGAGGGCAAGCCACATAGAATGGTGGAAGGATCACTAAGATACCTCATACTATGGCTATGACGAAATCCGCAGACGAAGCACCAAAACATTAACCATCTGTGGGTAGGACCAAACACTCCAAAACGTGTAGATCAGTAGATTCAAAACACCAAAAAACATTTCCGGGACTATCCACTGCAAACGACAGAGCCGTGGAAAGCGATGTCTAAGTTTGTGGATCGAATAGGAAGGTGTGCAGCCCCCTGGTGGTACATAGTGCAACTAAAGTGAGAATTGCGTCATTATTGAGTGGTTCATAATTCTCGGGATTCAACTGGGTTCTGGGGAACCACCGAGGGATCCATCTCAAATAAAGGGAAGGATTCACGGCCATAAAGCCCCCGGAAAGCAAGAAAGCAAGGGGCTCAACAATCGCTGCCGTCGAACTGGAAAAAGACGGCCCCCGGAGAAGGCCCAAACACAGCTTAAGTATGTTATGATCTCAGCCTGCAGGAGAAACGAGTCTCCCTTCTTGAGAGTTATTCGTCAAGCCTGACCTAACTAGAAGGTCTAGCAAATATTGAGGTGATAACCCATATGAAAAATGGCTGGTTGGATATGTGTAACAGTTTGAGATTATGGGCAATGCGGGAGAAAATAGATAAATGACTGGCTAGGAGATGTGGACATTTTGCTGGAGGCGTGAGGCTCGCTTCTGGAGGACCTTGACCTCACTTGAGTGCCAGACATCGCAGGGGGAAGCCGCGCTCCGTTGAGCTCCCGTCAGAAGGGAACCCCTAGTGATATATCTCTAAGAGAAGAGAGGTGTGCAGACGTGCCAGCTGTGGAATCGAGCTGGGGACGTGTGGTCTCAAGTCGTGGACGATAATTAGTGAATATTAAGCCGCCCGGAGGCATTATTGTGGGCCGTGGGAGCGCCCTGACCAGACGCCGTCAGAGGGAAAGCGCCCTCGACCAATTAATCTGTGGTAAGCACGATATACGCCAGTTCATAGTGATCACTTGTAGTTGGTCGTGTGCCCAGCGACAGTAGCAATGTTTATTTATAAGTTAGGCATGTTTTAATAAGGCAGAAAGCCTGAAATAAGAGAGTGGAGAGGGAGGAACACGGAGCGACGTCCGCCCCCTCTGAGCGCTGGCGGACGACTGAGGGAGCCTGGCTCCGGATGGAGGAAGACCCTCCCAGCGAGTGAGGACCGCCGCCAGGCGAGGTGGAGTATGGACCCGCCCAAAACGGGGGAGTCCACTCTCACTGTATGTAGAGGACAGATAGAGGTTTGAGGCAAGCATATTGTGTGGTTATTTTTGTTTATGTGTTAAAGGGGAACATTTTATTGGAGTGTCGATGGGTTGCAGGTTTGTTCTTTGGGGAAGAAGTTGCTGAGAACTTCGAAGCCAGCAGATGAAGTAGCTGATGAGACTCCAAGGTAGCGGAGCAGAGGACCTCGAGCTGTGAGGAGAAGCAGCAGTGAAGAGGAGTGTCACGTGCTTCTGCAGAGGTGGAGAAGCACCATAGTTGCTCGGGGAAACTTCATGGTGTAGCAGCCAAGAGAGCTGTGGAGGAACCTAGCAGAAGGGTGAAGCACCGTAGTTACTCAAGGAAACTTCATGATAGCAGCCTGGAGGAGCTGCAGAGGATCCTGGTAGTGAAGCCCGGAAGAACCTAAGGATATTAGGGTTGTGAACTTCCAGAGGTGGAAGGGGAAGTTCTGATGGATTACTTGTAGGGAGTTGATAGTGTTTGGTTGTCAGTAGCGTGCAAGACGCAGTGAGAGGTGAGTGACTGTTGGCATTCTTATGTCAAGGAGTTTTTTTATACTGAAGTTTAGAGTTGCAGTCGTAGGCTTGATTACCTACAGATGTATGTGCTCGAGGACTGACAGTGATCGATTAATCATTGTTGTGTATCAATGAACATTTATACTGATATATGTTATTGCATTCAAATGCTGATTTTCTATATATACATTATCTTGCTGATAGTGCAACAGTGTATGTAGGCTTGACCAACTTGAGGAGGTTAATAGTATCAGGTGGTAACCAGGAGATAGGATACCACTTGATAAGCTGATAATAGAGTTCTGATGGTGTTGGAGTGCAACCTGATTGTGATATTATAGAGTATAGGATTCATTATTATTATATGTGTGTATGTATCGTGTATGTGCTTTGTCCAGTAAATGTGTCACAATTTGCTGGTGTTTGCCCTTGTCCTAGTGAGGCTTCCCAGGAGGTAGTAAAGAAGGAGAGAGAGAGAGAAAGAACCAAGAACCACTGCTCTGGACAGGGTAAAAGGTAATACTAATAAGTCAAAAGGGGATTGAGGAGATCATATCACCTAAGGAGAGAGTGGGGAGTCACAGCGGCTCGAGTGGGTGTGTGCACGTGACAACGAGGCTGAGTGTTGGAGCCGCATCCCCTAAACGTGTGACGTGGAGCCCCTCTCCAAGAGCCAGAAGCGCCTAGTGTGATCTCCTAGTGAAGTGTAAGCACTCTACCGAGTTGTGGGTTGGGTTGTCCGTAGAGAAGGATCAACGACGACAACACCAACCAACCCACGAGTCTATAATAGTATCACCTCCCAGACTCCAAAACCTTCAGACATTTCGGAAGTGGGAGCAATGAGGGATGCTCCCTGGCGTGCCTAACAACACCAGCCAGACATGGGAAAAGGAGAAACATACATGAAGTAGAAATCACCACCTGCTACAAGATCGGCTTCTGAAAACACAAAGGGGCCGGCCTAGGGGCAACCACATCGATGTTAATCCATATTCTATGTATACAGACAAACTTGACCTGTAAAGCAACAGCCGCTTGGTAAGCTGAGTCTCTAGGAGGCAACTCGGCTAAAACAGACCCAACGACCACAGGGTGGAACTTATCTCCCATCCAAAAGGTGGCATGATGGAAGCAGCGAGAATGGCTTATCAAAATACATCAGAATCGAGGCCCATCCTTCAAACTAAGCCCTCCAAACACTGCAAAAACTTTGTTGGGCTCCGAA